CAGACTGAAATGCAAAGCCAGGCCCCACGGTCTGATCAGACAAGGCTGTTCTTTTTATGATGCAGACACCGCTTCACGACAGTATCTTCATGTCACGCATAGCAGCCCTCTGATGAGCAGATTAAACCCCAACAACAATGCAAAGGCACAGTCAGTTACAGGGGTTGAGGCCTGTCAATGCAGCCCCATAGTTATGTGTAGAAGAAAAATGCAAGACGAGATGCAACACCCTCCATAAGCCCCAATCAGCCAGCACTTTAGCAGCCCTCTGATGAGCAGATTAAACCCCAACAACAATGCAAAGGCACAGTCAGTTACAAGGGTTGAGGCCTGTCAATGCAGCCCCATAGTTATGTGTAGAAGAAAAATGCAAGACGAGATGCAACACCCTCCATAAGCCCCAATCAGCCAGCACTTGGCCACAGGCGTGCAGGGAACAAAATATGGCCCACAGTAATTTATTCCCTTAGAAAAGAGCCATTTAGGATCCTTCCTGGTTGGCCTCAGAACTGGGCCAAATTAATTCTCCACCACTTCAAATCATCCAGGACACTGGCTCTGTAGCATGGAATGGGTGGGGCCTCTCCCATTCCAAAGGAAGACTTCCTCAAAGCCGCTTTCTTACCTATGTGAGTAGAACAGGACATCAATGAGGATGGTGGCAATGGCTGGCAAGGAGTCAGGAGCAACGCTCAGAATGCAGAACCTGTTCTGAGGGCTCTGGACTGGGTGGACAGTGGCATTCACTGCTAGAATGGGGGAGAGAGAAAGAAATGCCCCCTCTCTCTGATATAAGAGCAGCCATCCCCTGTGCCATGTACAAGTATCTAAGCCCATCTGCAGCAGTGCATTCCAACAACAGAAGCCTTGGATATGCAACATCTCAGTGTACAGGGCCAATGCACATAATGTGAACCAGTAAAGTGGTCCACCCCTCTCCTAGGTACATTTCTATAAGAGTATATATGGGGGACTCAATTTATTATTATTTATTTAATTATATTTATATCCCGCCCTCCCCGCCAGCGGGCTCAGGGCGGCTTACAACAAGGCACAAAGTGCATACAATATAAAATAGGTAAAACAGTTAAAATTCAGTTCAATCAGGATGCAAGAATAGAAAGAGCCCAACGTCTTCAATACCAGAAGGGGAGGGCCAGGGCTGTAGATAGATGTTACTCTGCCCTCTGGCGGTATCCCTGTGATGCCCCAGTGTCCTCGTCCCAATGATGGGGAACAGGCTGTATACATGCAGGCATTGTGCCCAAGTTCAGCTATGTAAGATAAGGAAGGAACAGTATCTTCATTCTTACCCACACCCAGCGCATTGGCCACATACACAAATTTGATGTGTGCACGACAGAGCTAGGAGGCTGTTGAAGGAACTTTGTTTGAAGCAATGTATTACTTTTTAAAAATTCTGATGGTGGCACTTGGTAAGCCCCAGTATCCTGTCTCCAAAATGTAGAAGCAAGTGTGCAGCACTTTTAAAACATCACAGGACATCAATGGAATGCTATCCACTGCAGGGATGAAAGGCTGCAAACTTAATTGGCTAGAAGTGGATCAGTTTCAGGTGAGCAGCTGTGTTAGCCTGTATTAGGGGAGGAAAGTTCCAAGTCTAGTAGCACCTAAAAGATCAACAACATTCCCCAGGGTATAAGCTCACTTTTGTCAGACAAAGGCAGACCAGGGAATGTGATTTACTGGGCTCACAGCCTACTACTTGGGAATGCCAACCATTGTCACCTGGATGCAAGGATGCAATGCCCAGGAACTGTGCTGCACCTAAGACACTTACCTTGTTTTGGCTTCAGGAAACCGTTGCTTGCCTCATCACAGTTTGCAGGGACTGGCTCCCCATTCACCTCCTTGTAAATATCAAACTCGCCTTCCAGTGTGTGAATCACAACAGGCAAGTCTTTCTCCCGCACCTGAAAGAGAGGTCAAAAGTCACTGCTAGATCTCAAGCTTCCTTTGCAATGAGAAGGGTGGTGTCGCATCTGAGTGCAAATTCTGCGGCCTCCCTAGCACCAAGCCCGCAGGTAATCAAGAACAACAACTGGTACTGAGTGTAGAATTCAGTGGCTTGAGATTGCAGGGGATGCTTGTGGATTTTCAGATGGTCAGAAATCCTACAGCTTGTGAAGACTGGTCATATGTGCATTCAAGCCACGTCTGATAAAATCTGAACAAGACCTTGCTGACACGTACAAGAGAATGAAACAGTTGAATGGGTTATACCTGTTCACACTGCAGGAACTGCGTTCCAGCTTGAAGCATTCATAAAAAGTAATGCTATGCAAACAGAAAATTAGGAGAGCAGGAAGAAAAGTTCTGCCACACATTCCCACACACAGTGCTTACTGTGCTGGTTTTCCATTTGTGGGGACCTCTTTACATAGAAGAACTCTCCAAAATGCGATCTTCCACCTGCAGCATAAAGTGGTACAGCCCACCATTTATGTTTGAAAATTGGGGGGGGGGGGGGGGGGGGAGCTGAGTAGGCCTTCCAGCCATCTTGTAGAACAGGGATGCAAGATGCCCAATCTTCTGCACTACCATGGTTTGCCCCAGTTCCACTAGGGCAGACCAGATGATGAGAGGTCCTCAGATTTCTAAGGTTCAGGCCCCTCTGAGTGCTCTGCAGGCCGACACTAGGATTCTGCCACAGCAAACACTCGTGAGCTCTACCCCCCCGTCAGCCAACAGACCAGGAACTACCTGGAAAGCCCTGTAGCCCACTGGCACCTTCCCATGACCTGGAGCCGCTGCAGGAGCGCAGCCAAGATCCCACACCCATAGAGCCCCCCCCCCCAACCGAGGATCAGAGACAAAGGAAGACCAGGGCAGAGACAGGGACCTGATGAAAAACAAGCAGTCTGTGGCCTGCCTCTCTCCAGTCTCTCTCAGGAAGATGATAAGGTGTAGCAGTTCTTGACAGATCATAAGGAAGGGCGGAGATCCCAGCTTCTTATATAAGCCTGCAGAAGCTTGGAAGCTTTACTGGTTCAACAGCTTGCTGTTGTTGCCTCCATACCCGGCCTTGGGCCTACTCTGCCCTCCTCCTGTTTGCCTTGACTCTCGTCTGCCTGCCAGCCTCAGGAAGCAGCAGTTATGCAAAGGAATCAAACAACCTTGGAAAGTGCCTGCAAAAGTTACTAGTCCACAAGATTTACTACTGATGGTCTGCTCACTGGTTGTTGCCTAACAGCAGCCTACAAGAGTCGAATGCTTTCATTAACAAAAGCCCACTTGATTCTTACATGTTGTCGTTAAGTGACCCCACAAGGGCTTCTTTTTCAATCTGATAAAAATTTGTGTAACTTTATACCACCAAGCTCAGGAGCTAGTCTCAATCTGATCAAAATCTAGTTATTTTACAACACAGCTTCTTTTGTTTTGTTTGCAGAAGAGGTCAGATTCCCCAGCTCCATAATGGCAGAAAGACTGGTTGACTACAGGATCAGTCCCCCACCCCCAAGACTGTGTCCATCACCACACGGGTCTCAGCCCAGCTGGAAGGTGACTCAGTCTCGGCCTTCGCTTGTGGGTCTGGGACCTTCTGGCTGAGGTCCAACGCCTTAGAAAACTCTAACTGATCTGACAGTGATCCAAAAAAAGGAGGTCTGAAGTCCACACGCTCCCACCTCACGAGTTTTAATATACGCTTTTAAGTAATCAATTAACAGGATGAAAATATTTTCCGGACCAAGGGACTTTGCCAGAAATGGAGGAGGACAGGAATGTTTTCATTAAACACATGGTTCAGCTTTTAAAACACATTATTCCCTTACTGTTCAGTGAGAATAAGTTAACGATTTGCTAATCTAAAGGAAATGCACAAAACCCAGGGTAGCCTCAAAGGTTATGCAGACATATCCCCTCACACTGCTTATCTTCTAGGTAAAAGCCACCCAAAAACATCTGAGGCTCACCAGAATGAAGTCAGTCTGGTAGGTGGAGAGCATCAGTACCGAGACGTTGTGCTCCGCCAATGGTGCAATGACAGATTTGGCGATCTTGGTGACGCCAATGGGCTGGATGTTGGCGGAAGAGCTGCCATTGGACAAGACGTTGAGCACCAGCCAGGTAGAATCTACCACTTGCAAGAACTCGGACGGGGGTAGCTCTGAAAGGAAAAGAGATACAGTGGTGAGGGCTGGAAACGGATGACCTCCCCCAAAAAGAAAGAAGAGCCACATTTCAGCAGATCTATCAGGTCATAAGCCAGGAAGTGCCACCTCAAGCAGTCATGAGCAAAGTTTATCCGCAGCTGATTTATCCGCTTGACTAAGGCTCAAATTTCCTGCCAACCTATCAGTTCGAAAGCAAGAAATTGCAAGTAGATAAATAGGTACCACTTCGGTGGGAAGGTAACAGCATTCCGTGCGCCTTGGTGTTTAGTCATGCCAGTCACATGACCACGGAAACGTCTTCGGACAGCGCTGGCTCTTCGGCTTTGAAACGGAGATGAGCACCGCAACCCTAGAGTTGGATTCGACTGGCTTTCGAGCAAGGGAACTTTACGGCTCAGATTAATTTGTATACAAAGGAATCTGTTCAAGGCAATGTACACACATCACATCCTGATGTACACATATCACACGAGTCCTCATCTTAGAAGAGGAGGGATGCCTCTCCAAGATGATGCCTACCACCCAGTTTTTTGGAAATGCCTGTATTAAGACTTTTTTAAAAAAAATAGTGCGAAATCAGCTAACTACCTTTTTAAAAAGTTTATCAAACAGTTTTGATTGACTAAACATTGCAGATCCACTGGAAGGTCAATCTGTTCTCCAGACCAGTCATGGAGCAGCTGGTAAATACTATTTTGGCACACAAACTGGCCTCCCCGTAACAAGCTGTCTGGGGCCATGCAATTGTAGGGAGCTTCATGGTCAGAGAGCACACGTGCTGAAACGTGACAAGTAAAATCGGTGTTTGAGTCCAGTTGCAAAAACAGTAAAGACAAAGAAAGAATGACAAGTAAAATCCAGAAATGCAACACTGAGGTACATACAACCCATGCCTTACAACCTTGGATACATATTTCCCTTTTATGGTGGGCATGCATTTGAGCCTATGGATTAAATGGTGGACAGATCTCCAGTGGAAAGCACCTCTGCCACTGCCTTCTGCACAAGTTCCAATTTGGACAAAGGCTTCTTTCTAGCTGTGTGCTCCTCAGTGTGAACAGCAACAGAGGCCAGACAGAGTTCTCTCCTTAATGTTCTCCAGATGCTCTCATTTGTCTGCTTCTTGGCTCTTGGGTGGGGAATAAGCAACTGAGAAGCATAAGAACAGTGTTCTGACACTGCCTCACTCACAGTGGAGGGCGTGAAAGAGGCTTTTGCCTGCAATTTGCAAGTAGCTGAGGGACACAGTAAGGGGAAGGCTATGCAAAGGCCTCTGCTATTCATACTAGGATAGAGGGAGTTAAAGAGCCCTTTGCTTGCAACTTGGCTCAGGGTGTGAACAGGAGGACAGAGCCAATGTTTTTGGCCCTCTGAACCGAGAAAGATTAAAAAAACCAGTTGCCAACCAGCTGCTTACATGTCTTAGCCCAGAACCTTGCCTGTTGGCTGCAAAACTGGACAGATGCCAACAGGTAGAATACAATGGTTATGAATCCACTGGATGGTCCCAGTTTAAATCTCAGTTCAGTCATGAACTCACTGGGTTGCTCTTAAGAAAGCCACCATTTTCCAGAGCCAATCGCCTTTCCCTCAAGTGAGACAGACAAGCAGCCCCCAAGGGCCTCTTCGGTGCACCAATCACTCAGCACTAAATTAACTGCAGCCTGTTCCACCCATCTGGGATTAGCAGTTTCCAGACGGACAGCCAGCACAGCCCAGGAGTCAGTTTATCAGACTAGAGGAGTCCTGGGTTCAAATCCCTTCCCCCAGCCAGGAAACTCATTGAGTGATGCTGGCCCAGCCACTCACCACCTTTAGATCCCTGAAGGAAAGGCTGGATAGACATCAGACAGATGCAGATATGCCATGCATTTCTCAAAACATCAGATTTATATTTTAGCCCCACTTTGCAGCTAAAAACTGGATTCCAAAAACACCTTGCAGGAATCGGAATCTGATACCAACTTGGGCGGAAGACAAAATGATCCCTCAACCTTGCAGGAATCGGAATCTGATACCAACAAGAACTTGGGCGGAAGACAAAACGATCCCTCGGGGAGGCAATTCCAGCTGGATCCAGGTATGATGGAAGGACAGGAGGCTGCCTCTCGCCTGGGAGGAATTTCTCAGCACAATCCAGATCCAAGCAAGAAGGATCCTTCCTCCAAGGAGCTCAGGTACACAGGCAGAAACCAGGCTGTGATCTCCCAAGTAAGCTCTGTGGCTGAACGAGCGGCTGAACCTAAGACCCGCAGGCCAAGTCTAACCCTCTATTATAGTGGTTCTACACAGCTACAACATGGCATTGATATGTGAAGCGAGTAATTACTCGGTCTATTGGCACCACCAATATTCTCCATCAGAATCAACAGGCCCTTCTGTTCCAAGGAAACAGGATGGAGCCATTCACAAGAACAATGACTTAATCAGACTCGGGGGATTGGTAGGGAGCCTGGGAACCAACTGAACGTCAAGAGAAATAAAATACTAGCAGCACAGAGAGCGCACAGGGCATTTCATAGCAAAAGGAACCAGAGCAGCTTCACCGGCCTACCAGAACCCCAGTGCTGGAACACACAGCTTAAGATAGCCCACCTCAAGGAAGTCTCTCCATTACTCTCCCTGGCCAATGTAGCTCCCTGGATTTTGTAACAATCCTTGGTAAAAAAAAAACCCAGAGAGGCTGGTGGCTTGCCAGAATGGGTCCACACCCGTGAGTGAACGTGTGCAGGGCCTAGTGCTAGGGTTCTGGCGGGAAGAGACCTTCAGGCCAAATTCGCCTCAACACCCTCAGAATGATCACACCAAGCAAACCGCCATCAACTCCGCCAGCTTCGATCAAGCAATTCTCAACGCGCTTACAGAGGCCTGAAAAGTCTGGCCCAAGATGGGACTGTGCAGAGATGACCTGAATCCTGCATAAACTAGAGGCCTGCACCTATAGGACTGACCGGTAGTTCAAATCAATATGGGGAATTTGGCTTCCTCCCACCCCAGTCCTCACTGGTCCCTGAAGTCACAGGAGAAAACAAATTTTATCATTGCCCCGATAGGGTCTAGTAAGTAACCACACATTCCTGCCAACTGTGCACAGCAGAGGCCCTGTTCTCCAGCTTCACCCCAATCTTGTTTCTATGATCTGTTTCCTCAGGTTCTAGTTTTTGAGGCCTACTGCATCCCTTTAGCTACCCGAGTGTCTTGGCCAGGCTACCTTCCTACTACTCTTCTTCGCAACATACAGCTTAAACACTCTGAAGTTTCTCCAGAGCCACTTCTTGCCTCAACCCCCTTTCTCTGCCTATTCCCTCCAACCTCATTCTACCCCTTCCTTGTCAGTCTTCTCAGCCGCCTCACTTCTGGGCTTCCCTACGTTCTAGAGGCACTTCCCAGTGCTCAGCCTCCCATGTGAAATTTTTAATCCCAGCCAAACTGACACATGCCCCTTCCCTCACAGAGCCTGCACTGTAGACTATTCGGTTTCCCGAACAGAACGACATTCCATACTGCCGCACTGGTATACCTCAGCTAACACCACCCTTAACCACCAGAGTAGGCAAACTGACATGGTGTGTCTTATTCTACCATCAAATATATTGTTCTTGAGCAAAGTGACTGAATGAGTGGCGTCTGGGCAACTTCAGAATGAAGTGGATTGTTTGGATCCATTCCAGTGTGGCTTCCAGCCTGGTCATGAAACTGAAACAACTTCGGTCGCCCTAGTGGATGACCTGCACCAGGAGATGGACAGCAGAAGTGAGATCCTGTTAATTCTCCTGGACTTCTCAGCAGCGTTGGATATCACAGATCGTTGTATCCTTGTAGACCACCTTGTGGGGCTGGGACTGAGGGGCACCATTTTGTGCTGGTTTCAGTCATACCTGGAGGCAGCTCTCGGATGGATGACAGCTAACAAGCTGAAACGTAATTCTGACAAAAAAGAGGTGCTACTGGTATGAGTGGGGGGAGTGGATTGTTTGGATCCATTCCAGTGTGGCTTCCAGCCTGGTCATGAAACTGAAACAACTTCGGTCGCCCTAGTGGATGACCTGCACCAGGAGATGGACAGCAGAAGTGAGATCCTGTTAATTCTCCTGGACTTCTCAGCAGCGTTGGATATCACAGATCGTTGTATCCTTGTAGACCACCTTGTGGGGCTGGGACTGAGGGGCACCATTTTGCGCTGGTTTCAGTCGTACCAGGAGGCAGCTCTGGGATGGATGACAGCTAACAAACTGAAACTTAATTCTGACAAAAAAGAGGTGCTACTAGTATGAGTGTGTGTGTGTGGGGGGGTCTCTCACCCAGGAATTGCATTATTTCCTGTTTTGGATGGGGTTGCCCCACCCCCAAAAGAAGCAGGTTCATAGGTTTAGGGTCCTGCTGGACCTGGGTCTCCTGTTGAATAAACAAGAGGCAGAGGTGGCTAGGGACAACTTCCACCAGATTCAGCTGGTGAACCAGCTGCAGCCCTTCCTGGGCAGAAAAGATCTTGCCACGGTGGGGCATGTCCTGGTAACATCTTGATTAGATTACTGCAATGCACTCTACCTGTGGCTGCCCTTGAAGACTGTCCACTCTGTAGCCAGAATACTCACTGGAATAGGTCACAGGGACCCCTATCACTCCATTTGACTCTCAATTTGCTCCCGGGCCCACTTCAAGGTGCTGGCATTGACCTTTAAAGCACTTTATATGGCTTGGGGCCAGCATCACTTAAGGGCCACCTACTCCCATATGAACCTCCCAGACCTCCCCAGTCATCTTTGAAAGGCCTGTTTTGGGTACATCATCTGAGGCTAGAAATCTTTCTTGGTTGTGGCACCAGAACTTTGGAACTCCCTCCCCAGGGAGATTGGTCTATCTTCCTCTATCTCTGCTTTCCACCAGCGGGTGGAGACTTTGCTTTGTTTGCTGTTGTCTCACTAGCTCTTCCTTCCTATTTGTGTGTTTATGTGCGTTGTTTGTTTTAAATATTTTATATATTAGCGTATAA